GGACACGACTAAGCACAGCACAGTATGTAAGGGAGAAGGATATGAAAAAATAGATGCATACGTACGTATAACTGAGTCACTTTGTTGTACACCTGAAAGTGACACAACCCTGTAAATTAACTACACTTCAACTTTTTTAAATGGTTAAAAATAAATGAGTAAAAGTAATTCATCTAAAAAAAGCTGCTGCTATAGGTCAGGGTCCTAATAGACTTCACGTCTATACATTCTGCTAGGAGGTCCAAAGTAAGGTTCCTAACATTTACCAACTGTCAAAACCTCCTGGGGTGCTTTGAAAAATGCAGCTGTCTGAAAAGAGACAGAAAGTGGATTAGTGGTTGCCTGGGGCTGAGGTTGGAACAGGGAGTGACTGCAAAGAGGCACAAACATCTTTTCAGGGTGATAGGAATGTTCTAAACTTGGATTGGGCTGATGGTTGCGCAATTTTACAAGTGTACAAAAATCATGGAGTTAGAAGACTTAAAATAAGTAAATTTTATGCAATGCAAACTCAGCCTCAATAAAACTGTTTTTTAAAAAAGCTAAGAATGGGACTTCCCTGGTGGTCCGTGGTTAAGAATTTGCCTGCCAATGCAGGGGAAAAGGGTTCAATCCCTGGTTTGGGAAGATCCCACAGACCCCAGAACAACTAAGCTGGTGAGCCGCAGCTACTGAAGACTGCATGCCTAAAGCCCATGCTCCACAACTAGAGAAGTCACAGCAATGAGAAACCTATACACCACCACTTGGGAGTAGCCCCCATCCACCGCTACTAGAGAAAGCCAGACAAAGCAATGAAGATCTAGCAAAACCAAAAGTAAATAAATAAAGAACAATTTTAAAAAGAAATAAGCAAGGAATATAAAGGATAAACTAGGCAAGTAACAGAGCCATATCTGTGTAGTGGTAGGAAAATTTTTGAGCATTACTATTTAGCATTACAAATAAATAAATAAAAAGCACTCATAAAATTTTCAGTTTCTTGTAGAATAGACTCAAATATCACACCTCAAAATACAGTTACTGAGGCCTCAACCTGGGTAAATTCCAATTCAAGTGTTTGAGTGAAGACTCAGTCATCTGTTATTTTTTTTTAACCTCTCCAGGTGACTCTAGGGTATAGCCAGGTTTGAACATCACTGATATAAAGCTAAAGGAGATTGAAAAAGGCAAGGTACCTTATTTCTAATAATGTTTATCTCATTTTATTTTACTCTGAGCCATCAGGGATCTATCTGATCATAAAAGAACATTTTATGGCCCCAACCAGTTTTTTGTTTTGCTTAGCTTTTTTTTTTTTTGAATCATGGAAAGGGCAGTAATTCAGGTGCCATAGGACCACAAGAAGTTTGAGATTTTAACCTAGAAAGTGAGGTAACCAGCTTTAAACCAATCATATAGATGGAATAGTTATCCAGGTTATAACTTAAGAAGATGGTCAGACATCCAGGCATGTTCCAGAAAAGAATTAATTTCAAATACTCTTGTTCCATCGAGCCCCCAAACCATCAAGTTACTGAGGGAGAAGGAAGCAGGGTGATGGAAGAGAGAGGGAGTATGGTCTTGCACTGAACACCAATTTGTAACCTATTAGAGTTTGAACCACACACACAAGTTAACTGTTTTAATAATCCAGAAAGTAGAAAGCTTTGACTTGCGAATTACTTCTCACAGCATTGGCTGTCACACTGAGACAAAGTTCATTCATTTATGGTTCAATAGCCATGGGCCCAACACACGAGACAAGGAAACTGAGGCAAAAGTAGGTTCCACGACTGTTAGGCTTTCTCTTCTTTTGTGTACCTAGGGGGAGACATGGAATCTGAACTCACACCCTAAGTATTTTACAAAAGCTCCCAGGGAGGGGTGTCCTAGAAGTCTGGTGTGTAGAGGCTGAGTCTAGTAGCCAGCACGCGGTCATTCTTATCTAGAACTGCTTCTAACAACATCAGCGGGTCCAGCAAATAGAGATTTGCTCAGAGAACATTCAGAAGTCTGACCTCAGAGGCCCGCGCTGGCTCCAGTCCACATTCACACGCTCGCAGCCCACGTCCTGGTCTCAGTTCTATTCTAGCTGCATCTCTACCCGGGGGCTTTTGGAACACACGCAACAACAGCCAGGCACAATCACAGCATCCTGTGTCTCTGGCTCCTTCCTGCAGCGGCTGTTTTGCAGGAACAGAAGCAGCTGAGCTCTGGACCGGACTGAGGAGCAAAAAGGGCCCCAGTCCACCGCACCTGGCCTGGGGAACGGCCCGTGAGATCTCTCACTCTGTAAGGCCAGATATCTGCTCTGGTGCAAAGAGCCAGGAAAACAATTTTCTTAAAAATAAACAAATTCCCAGGAGATCAATGGTCTGGAAACATTCCTTGGAGATTCCCACAGGCCCTGCTGATAAGCAGTGAGCAACTTTACAAACAACCATCAGGATTCAGACCTACCCCTTACAAGATGGCCCACACATCACCAGGAAGACACATCTCGAAAGAGTCATAGTGGTTCTGAACCCAGCAGTGCACACAGGCACTTCATTTCTACAGCGGGATAACCATCCTTCCCATGTGGGATAATTTCCTGATAAATTACGATTAGGAAAAAATGAAATTTTAAAACAGTCTTTGTTATTAGTTTAGGTGTGTATTTTTTTCATTTCTTTTTCCCCTTTTCTTCTCTACTTTGCAGACACCTAATCAGCTATCTACTCTTTAAAAGGCATCGTGTTTAATATCATAGGGAGGGACTTTCCTGTCGGTCCAGTGGCTAAGACTCCTTGCTCCCAACCCAGGGGCCTCGAGTCCATGCCTGGTCAGGGAACTAAGATCCCACGTGCCACAACTAAGACTGGATGAAGCTAAATAAATAAATGACAAATTTTTTTTAAAAACTATTGCAAGGCGACAAAGGTTAATCTGACAAAGTCCTCTTTCAAAATCATTTATGAAAAAAAATCATTTATGATCTAATAGGAGAGATGAGATTTACAGAGGAAAAACTAAATAGAAGGTAATTGTAATAATGATGACGATTAAGATTTTACTCAGCATGAAAGGTTCTCAGTGACCCTGAGAGGCGGTTATAATCCCTATTTACAGATGTGTAAGCTGAGCCTCACAGGGCCCAGGTCATTTTTTCCAAGGATATTAACTCTTAACTGATCACAAATCCATTAACCCTACCCACGGTGACCTCAATGATCTAAGAATGATGTCTTCTATCTCACATCATTTCTGAACGTCAGGTCTCTTGACAACATCTTTAACTTTTTGATGAGATCTGGACAGATTGCAAACTCATTGTTTGGAGTTAACTTTTAACAAAGACCTGCATCCACACTCCAGTCTTTGAGAGCGAACTCTCTCTTTCACCCAGAGTTGTTCACTGAACTGCGCGCTGGGGACACAGCCAGTAGCTTCCGCACTGTTTACTCTTCACACTAACAGCTCCGGGTCTTCACTATTTTCTCCTCAAGTGAGATAACGACATTCTCTTATTCTTTGTGTCAAGTCATTTCTCTCCTCTCCTTGCAACCTCATCCCGAAATATTCTAATACAAGAAGGCTTCTTGGGCAACTCTGTGCTTCCTTGCAGTCACAGGGCTTGAATTCGGGTTCTGCATTTTCTGCGATCTCTTGTCATTCAGCCTTTGCCTGAATCCTTTACCTCGGCATCACAGGTACCCAAAGTCTTGTCATTTTAACCCTGGTGCAATTTTGGGGGCACATCTGTCTTGTTATCCAACTTGACATTAGCTCTTACAGATATATTTAGGATAAGGCCGAATGCAAGTGAATATTAAATATTAACTTGGTTGACATTAATATAGCAATTCAATTAGGTTGAATTTTTCATGATCATCTCAACAAAGAGTGCTACTTAAAAAATTAAAATATGAGGGGACTTCCTTGGTGATCCACTGGTTAAGAACCCGCCTGCCAACCCAAAGGACATGGGTTCAATGCCTGGATCTGGAATGAAGATGCCACACGCCCTGGGGCAACTAAATACTCAAGGAGCAACTAGTGAAGTCCACTCGCCCTAGAGTTCACCATCTACAAGAGAAACCCAAGCACCACAACTAGATAAAGCCCACACGAATCAATGAAGACCTATCACAGTCCAAAATTAATTAATTAGTTAACTTTAAAAAAATTAAAATCTGAGAGAAATTCACATTAAGTGATCCTGCTGATGAACACAAATGTCTGTGTCTAAATCAAATTTCCAGTACATATTTTTCACTAATTTTAGAAAAAATATAGCACATTATTTAGATGTTTCTGTTAATGTTAAATGTTTGTTTTGAAAACAGAGTATTAAAAAATAAGGGAAAATAAAAAACAGTATTAGACAATGACCCCATCATCCCTCACCCATAAATGATTACTTTACATGACTTCCTAGTCTTTGGTCAACTTCACAGTTACCATATTTAACATTAAAGTGTACGTACAAGTGTGTCTCTTTTTTCCTATCACATGACAAATTGTTTTTACAATCCCAATTTACTAATCACATCCGTGTGCTTGAATATTTAGGATGAAGGAATGCTTTTGCTACTACAAACATCATCAAACACATTCGTATATATAACCATCCCAACAATTTAGATGTCTCACCAAGGGCAGATTCCCAGAAGTGACAGAACAGTGAGAAATGATTAGAACATTGTAAAATCTCCCAAAAGAGCATGGCTTAAAAAAAGGGCATTATTGGGACTTTCCTGGTGATCCAATGGTAAAGTATCTGCCTTGCAGTGCAGTGGACACAGGTTTGATCCCTGGTCAGGGAACCAAGATCCCACATGCCTCGGGACAAATTTTGTGTGCCACCGCAGAAGATCCCCTGAACTATAATCACGACCCGATGCAGCCAAATAAATAAATTAAAAAAAAATGCACAGGGCACTGTCTTTGCTCGGCTGCTGTCCTTCAGATCCCCGCTTCGCCCTGGGCCTGGACGGCAGGGGCGCCATCTGCTTTACCGCCGGGACACCTCTCACCTGGCCCCCGGCCGCTGCCCCTCTGCCGGCTGTTCTGCAGCCCCAGCACCTCCAGCTCCGCGATGCCTGGCCTCTCCATCACGGTCACCTCCACCGTGAGCCGCCCCACCAGCTGCTGGGGTCGCAGGCTGACCACGTGCTCGTACTTTCCCAGCCGTCTCTGCAGAAGCTCCTCGTAACTCAGGAGGAAGGCGGCCTTGTCCTTGCTGGGAAGCACCACGGAAGCTCTGAATGTCTCCGTCCCCTTCTCCCTGGAAGGAAGAGAAAAGGCAGCGTGGGGTCGGAGAAAGCCAGGCGCCCTCAAGTCTGAGACGGTCCCAGCCAAGCGCTCTCAGCGAGAACCCTCAGCATTCCCCACCAAGAATAAGCCACCAGCCACTGCAGCCGTCCCCATGATGCACCCTGAGGGGATTGAGGATGCAGAAAAATAGGAGACTGACCGGAGATACCAATTCGTCATGTGATAAGGTGCATATCTAAGGACTTGTTTCAATGAGCACAGACTCGCGCACCTTCCCATACACGGAAAAGCACTAACACCATTCACCGGAGACGTCTGGATTTTCTTCTGACTAGCGGTCATGTTCTGATGCTCGACTACATTTATTTTTTCAGTAGAACCTCCTCCATATCCTAGTCCTCCCTTACCTCTCTGGAACAGCCCCTCAGTGCCACCTGAGAGAAGGTCTCCAGGGCTATAGTCCTCAAAAATGCCCCCAAGAAAACATAATCCTCGACTTCCAGGTTGCACGTAAATTTTTCAGTCGACATCAGAAAGAAAAACTAGAATTTAGCTTTGGGAGGAGAAGCAAATGCCTGCACCAGAGGAAGGTTATATGGGTTCAAGGAATCCTGAAGAGCAGAGAGTTCAAAGACCACAGAATCCTTCTAGTTCCTTCTCCCTGATGCAGACCCGAGGGGGCAGAGGGGAAGAGGAATGATAAAGGTGACCTCAAGGGAAAACACACAGGGACCCCCCCATGGTTGTGGTTAACACCCCGCACTGCCAACGCGGGGTGCTGGTGTGATCCCTGGTCCGGGAACTGAGATTCCACATACCACACGAGGCGTGGCCAAGATAAATTAATGAATAAAGTAACATTTTTTAAAAAGGAAAGCAGATACATGCTGTGATCCAACTAAACAGAACTGTGGCATGATTCTGAACAATTTGTGAAGTGTAAAAAAAAAGTAATAATAATCCTCATAAAGCCCACACCATTTTCTCTAGATCCTGTGATTGTTTTTCTTCAAAAGGAACACATACTTTTTTCAACTGGGCTAGCAGAGAAGGAAACAAATCTCAGTACACTAGGTGGCTCTGCAGTTAATGTTATTTACAGTCATTAAAAGTGAATTGACTTATTGGTCTTCAATGTTTGGATTCAGTTCATAGACAAAGAGTTCAAATACCATGACAGATCAGAATTTAAATGTTGATAATCCTGACAATTCAAAAGTAAATGATTAAGTAGGAAAAGAAAAGATCAGGTGACATGCAGGAGCAAGAATACTACCATTGAAGATAACAGGGCTCATCTAGGATGGTATAACTCTGCTTATATTGAAGAAGAAAAAGAAATAATACAAAAATTTGGAATATAGAGAGAAAGTGGGAATATTATAAATCTGCTGAATCCTCTTTCTTCACAGTAGAGAATCAACAATCAATCAACATCTGATTTTTATCAAGAAATTTTTTTAAAACAAGACTATTGTCAAAGCCATGGTTTTTCCAGTAGTCATGTACAGATGCGAGAGTTGGACCGTAAAGAAGGCTGAGTGCGGAAGAATTGATGCTTTCAAATCGTGGTGCTGGGGAAGACCCTTGAGAGTCCCTCAGAGAGCAGGGAGATCAAAACAGACAATCCTAAAGGAAATATTCATTGGAAAGACTGATGCTGAAGCTGAAGCTCCAATACTTTGGCCACCTGATGGGAAGAGCTGACTCATTGGGAAAGACCCTGAAGCTGGCAAAGATTGAGGGCAGGAGGAGAAGTGGGTAGCAGAGGATGAGACAGTTGAACGGCACCACCGACTCAACGAACATGAGTCTGAGCAAACTCTGGGAGATAGTGAAGGACAGGGAAGTCTGGTGTGCTTAAGTTCATGGGGTTGTAAAGAGTTGGACATGACAAGTGACTGAACAAGAACAATCATAATATTTAGAATAAGGGAGATAACTACCATAAAACTACAGAAATATCAGAAGTGGATCTTTCTAAGGAAGTGAGAACTGGGGATGGGGGTAAGTGGGTTTTTAATCATAAACCCTTAGCCACTATATTGTTAACCAATTATATTAATATTATTAATATGGTAAAAATAAAAAGATAAATCCTTGAAACAAAGGGTGAAAACAAGATGGGAAGTCAAAGAGGTAGAAAACTTGACACTTGACTGTAGTGGATTTCTAATTCCTGAATTCAATGGTACTTACCCATAATCTTCTATGGTTTTATTCCTCTTCTCTTTTGCCTTATCACCACTTCTCTCTTCTTTCTCTGTAATTTCTCCCTGATACACCTTGTCTCCAATAAGCCTGAAACACAAGAGACAGCTGTCGGGGGGAGGGATGGGAGGAGGAATAATTAGGGAGTTTGGAGGGGACATGTACACGCTGCTGCGTTTGAAATGGCTAACCAACAAGGACCCTAGCACAGGCGACTCTGCTCCATGGTCCGTGGCGGCCTGGATGGGAGGAGAGTTTGGGGAGAATGGGTACATGTATATGTACAGCTGAGTCCCTTCACTGTTCACACAGCATTGTTAATCGGCTATACCGCAATACAAAATAAAATGTTTAATTGAAAAGAAAAAACGAGAGACAGCTGTACTGCCAGCTTGCCAGGACAAAGTCAAGCATAGATCTCATAACCATGACAACCCTAGAAAATATTTGTGTTTGCCTCTTGGATATGCACTGAGAATGCATTCCAGACTAGGGCACTACCCTTGCATCACTCATTTTGTTCTAGGGCAAATTTCAACAGGTCCACATGTTAAGAGCCAACCAATGGTGTCTCTGATTCTCCAGGAGGAACACAGAAGACCTGCTCAAACAAACTTCCAAGAAGATGCACCAACTTGAATCCTGCCCAGGCCTAAAATTAAACGCACACACCTATTTTGTATCTCTTTACCTCTTAGTTCAGGTGAAAAGAAGAAATATACGGTATCGAGTATTCAAAGGTTATCATGCTGTCTGGTCCTTCAGATGTCAGCTTCAACACTGACTCCTCTGAGCCACCTCCCCAACTCCCCGACCTAAAAGACCCCCCTCAATCCTACTTGTCATCTCTATAGCACTCACTACCATCTGAAGGCAATCTTATTATTCATCTGTTTACTTATTTGTTTCTCCCCAGAGGAACTTCTAGAGCAGAGCAACACCCATCTTTTTCAAAGAAGTAGACCAATCACCTTGAAGTATGCCTGGCCTGGGGTGGGTAGCCATTTGTTGGAGGGAAAGAAAGAGGAAATAAAGGGGAGGAGGAAAGAAGAGAGGAATGGGACGAAAGAAGAGATAATAAAAAGGAGGAAGGGGGAAATGGGGATGGAAGGCAGAAGGCAGAAGGGAGGGAATTAATCTTCTTTCCCATGGACAGTCCTTTGGGTTGAGAATTTATATATTCTCAGGGTCAAAGGCTGTGGTCCCAGCATCTCAGGCTCCCCCTGACCACTTTATAGAGAAATCTTCATTCCAGAGTTCACCTACACAGTGAAGTTAGTGATGAAAGCTGCAGCTGGAATCTGCATCTGAAACGTGACTTCCTGGTCCTCAGAGCCTCTGTTGAGCATCCTACAGGCAACTGTGGTGAAGGCATAACGGGAGATGATGGTAGACTTCACTGAGAACTCCGTCATCAAGGGTTTGGTTTTCTGTTGGAATCAAAACACACAGTATGCTGTGCGCTTGAAACTATCACAACACTGTACAATCAACTATACTTCAATTTTTAAAAAGCACACACACAGCCCACACACATAGCCCACAAAAGCATGATTCAATCATTTGGGGGTAGGTGTGGTCTTTTTTTTTCTGTAAGAGAAAATCATCTTCAATTTGGGAGTCCTTGAACTTGTGATTATTTTCTTCTTTCTTTGTCTTGTCCTGAGTTTCTGTGATTTTCCCCTTCACTTGTAAGCAAACCACAGCTGAACAACAAGTGCATGACAGAGAAACAAACTGCTTAGCCCAGCTTTAAGAAATGAACCCAGTAGGGACAGATCAATTAGAGACTGGGATTAACATACACATGAAAATGAAAGTGAAAGTCGTTCAGTCATGTCTGACTCTTTGCGAACCCATGAACTATTCTATCCAGTCCATGGAATTCTTCAGGCCAGAATACTGAAGTGGGTAGCCTGCCCCTTCACCAGGGGGACCTTCCCAACCCAGGGATCGAATCCAGGTCTCCCGCATTGCAGGCAGATTCTTTACCAGCTGAGCCACCAGGGAAACCCAACATACACACACTACTATGTATAAAATAGGGATTCCCAGGTGGCACTAGTGGTAAAGAACCTGCCTGCCAATGCAGGAGACCTGGGTTCGATCCTGGGGTCAGGAAGATTCTCTTGGAGGAGGGCATGCAACCCACTCCAGTATTTTTGCCTAGAGAATCCCATGGACAGAGGAGCCTGGGGGGCTACAGCCCACGGGGTCACAAAGAGTCGGACACAACTGAGAGGCTCAGCACACACACACATGTATAAAACAGATAATCAACAAGGACCTACTGAAGACTACAGGGAACTCTACTCAGTACTCTGTGTAATCTATATGGGAAAAGAGTCTGAGAAAGAATGGACATATGCATGTATATAACTGAATCACTTTGCTCTACACCTGTAACTAACACAACATTGTAAATCAACTATACTTCAAAAAAAAAAAGTTTTTTAACTAAAAAAAAAAGACACATGCAAGTTTTCCAATTTAACAGAGTTAATTTTGCTTAAAGAATTTAATAAATTATTGGAATTTTATAAGTATGTGAAGCACATAACACTTTTATAGATTTTTAGATCACATTTCTAGGATCACTGAATTGATCACAAGATCAGAGTATGCCTAAAGACATTCTCATACTTCCAAATTAATTTCAGTATCCACTTAGAGAAACTATACTGTGGGGTTTTTCCATTCAGATGACAATCCCACTATTATACAATGAGAATCAATACTGAGCTCAAGTATTTGGGGAATTAGAACCCCAAAAAAGGAAAGTGTATGCTAAGTACATTTATCCCTAAAGCTTCTGATAAAGGGCAGTGGCTAGAAAGTGCAAATTTAAAAGCTGGTTAAAACTATTCACTATTCTCTGTGCATCCATAATATGTGTAAATGCTTCTATCTCATTGTACTATAATTTCAGCTAAGTGTCTTCATCACAAGCATTGAGACAGGCCACAGTAGGGGCGGGGTTGAAGACAGAGTTTTGGAGACTATTCATCTGGTGGCTGAACTTTAAGTAGAAAAAAAAAAATCTAACTGCATTTGAAAGATTTTCATCTAAAAAGAAAAGAAGTTCTCTCATTTGGTCTGAAAAGGAATTATTTCCAAACAATGGTTCTCAAGATGTGGTCCACAGATCAGCAACAACAGTATCACCCAGAAACTTTTGTTAAAATTGCAGAAACTTTAACACATATATGTGGAATCTATAAAAAGGGTACTGACGGACCTATCTGCAGGGCAGGAATGGAGACGCAGACACAGAGAATGGACTTGTGGACACAGTGGGTAAAGAGGAAGGTGGGACGAATTGAGAGATTAGCATTGACCTACATACTGTACCGGGCTTCCCAGGCGGCTCAGCGTAAAGAATACGCCTGCCAATGCAGGAGACCCAGGAGAAGCAAGTTTGATCCCTGGGTTGGGAAGATCCCTTGGAGGAGGAAATGGCAGTCGACTCCAGTATTCTTGCCTGGAGAATCCCCATGGACAGAAGAGCCTGGTGGGCTAGAGTCCATTGGGTCCCAAAGAGTCAGACACGACTGAAGCGACTCAGCATGCACATATACACCACCACGCGTGAACAGACAGCTAGCGGGAAGCTGCTGATGCACAGAATGCTCAGCTTGGTGCTCTGTGATGGCGAGAGGGGTGGGACCGGAGGGTGGGAGGGAGTCTCAAGAGGCGGGGATATATGTATACATACAGCTGATTCACGGTCTTGTACAGCAGAAACTAACACTGTAAAGCAGTGATCCTCTGATTGAAATATAAAAAATTTTAGAAGAAATGTAGTTTCTCGGACTCCACCCCAAACTCACAGAGCAAGAATCTCAGGGGGCCAGTTCAGCAATCTATGCTTCAACATGCCCTCTAAGGGACTCTGATGTTTGAGAAATACTTTTTAAAATTAATATAGCTAGATGACACTTCATGTATTTCTGCTATAGCTTTATAATATCTCTAAATTGAGAGGGCTTCCCAGGTGGCTCCGTAGGAAAGAAGTTGCCTGTCAAGATTGAGACACGGGTTCGACCACTGGGTCGGGAAGATCCCCTGGAGAAGGAAATGGCAACTCACTCCAGTATTCTTGCCTGGGAAATCCCATGGACGGAGGAGCCTGGTGGGCTACAGTCCATGGGGTTGCAAACAGCTGGACACAACCTAGCAACTAAACAACAATATAAATTGAGAGGGCTTGAATAAATCACCAAAATTATGTCTTCTTTTGAGATCCAAGAATCTAAAGCAAAGCCAAAAGTAAGGAATAAAGCTTTGGATTTTAGGAAATCACTCCTGAAATCAGGAATAACTGATGACAAAATATTCTTTATGTACATCTGGTCTCTTTAGGACAAAATCTGTTGCATGACGCCACGGTGTCTGGAGAGAATTTGACACAACAGTAAAAACTGCACACCCTCTTCGTCTCTTTAGATATTTGAGTTTACAACCCTGCTTTAGTTGGGAATTGCCCTTGAGCTGCATTTAGACATTGGGTTAATTATTCCAAACTCTACACTCTGTCTGATCATGACACATTTTACTGGTTTTGTTTTGGGAACTAGACTTCTGCATATTAGAAACACCCCTGAAATGAAGACGGTATAGTGTAAGCTGCAAAGACAAATATGAAGAAAAAGAAACTCAAGTCCAATCCCGTCACTTAACCAATGTAAGATCAGGATAAGGTACTTGCCCCCAGTCACACAGGTGGGAGCTAAGAAATCCAGAGTAAAAAGAAATGAGTTACCATACCATAAAAAGACATGATAGAACCATAAATGCATATTCCTAAATGAAAGAAGTCCATATGAAAAGGCTACATACTGTATGACTCCAACCCTATAACGTTCTGGAAAGGGCAAAAGTACAACTATTGCAGGCAGGGGAAGTCTGTGAACAGTCAAGTCCAGGATTTCTAGGGCAGTGAAAATACTCAGTGTTGTTGTTGAGTTGCTAAGTCGTGTCCCAACTCTTTGTGACCCTGTGGATTATAGCCCACCAGTCTCCTCTGTCCATGGAACTCTCTAGGCAAGAACACTGGAATGGGGAGCCACTCCCTTCTCCAGGGAATCTTCCCAAGCCAGGGATCGAACCCTGGTCTCCTTCACTGCAGGTGGATTGTTTACCATCTGAGCTACCAGGGAATCTCAAATTCATGTTCATTGAGTCAGCGACGCTATCTAACCATCTCATCGTCTGCCGCCCCCTTCTCCTTTGATATGATAATGATGGATGCATGCTGAGTCGTTTCAGTCGTTGTCCAACTCTTTGCGACCCTATGGACTGTAGCCCGCCAGGCTCCTCTGCCCATGGGATTCTCCAGGCAAGAATACTGGAGTGGGTTGCCATGCCCTCCTCCAGGGGATCTTCCCAACCCAGGGATGGGACCTACATCTCCCTCGTCTCCTGTATTGGCAGACGGGTTCTTTACCACTAGTGCCACTTGGAAAGCTCCAATAATGATGGATATATGTCATTAAACACTTGTTCAACCCCATAGAATGTACACCACCAAGAGTGAACCCTAAGGTAAACTATAAACTTTGAGTGATTATGATGGGCCAATACCAGTTCATCTTTGGTTAAAAATGTCCCATTCTAGAGAATGATGTTGACGGTAGCAGAGGTGGTGCCTGTGTCAGGGTAGGAGCATATAGGAAATCTGCACTTTTCTCTCAACTTTGGTTTAAACCTGAAACTGCTCTAAAAAAACAAAGTCGAAGTCTTAATGATACTTTAACCAAAACCCAGCTTAAGAATCGGGAGTCCCTAACTTCCAATCCTGCCTCTTCTGTTAAAGGATTGCAGAAGCTGGCCAGTGAAGGCTTTCACAGTGGTCACTGTTAGACACCCAGTAAAATACAAAACTGCCAAAACATTGTAAATACAACGCTGATTTAAAAGTTACCTGTGAACCTCAGAGTTATCACCCCATCAAATTATGAATACTCTAGACAGAGCAGGGAGCTGAATGCTTTCTGCACTGGTGTCATCTTCTGACATTTTCCCCTAATTTTTTTCTTATCAATTTATCACTTCTTTACACAAAAGTTGAGTACTAACATAGAAAAAAATCTTGTTAAGTTTATGTCTTTGATAAGCAGAGAGGACAGTTCTAGCATTCTGAACAAAGCTGAGCTTCATTTGTAGAGGGTCTCTGCCCTATACTGTTTCTGACATAATGAAAGATCGGCTACACTCGGTACCCTTGAGACTATCTTTGATGTCATGCTGATTTGTTCTCATTTATGAGATAATGATCAGTTAGAATTTCACTGCAACTAAAATGTGACAAAGCACAGTTCATGGCTCATGGCCCCAAGAGACAGACTGAGAAAAGTTTCAAGAAACTATTTTAGTGTTACTGCTCCTGCCTTGTTACTGGTTTCCCACAAGAGGCTCTGTGTTATTGACA